CCAATTAGTTGCATGGAGCTCAAATTCTTATTCCCTTCTGGTTTAAAAACCACATTCAACTTGACGAATTGGGAAATTTAGGCAATAGGCCATAAAATGTTCTCCCTCTTTCTTTAGATAGGATAACAGGGGAGAACATTTTCTCAGTCAATCAGACAGAAGGCCACAGTCAAATATGGTGTTTTGAGAGAAATTCAATTCAGTCCTTCTTCACCCACTTCATATGGAACACTCCCATTCCAAATTGACTTCTGACACCTCCTGATTGGACAGTTGAGGTGCCTCAAATTATCTTCGTTTACTTTTAACATAATTCTAAAAGTACAGCTTGAACAACACACAAAAGGGTTACAAGGGCTTTCATTCAAAATTAGCGCTCTTGTCCATTAGGTCAGAGATCAAGGCATAGGATACCCACTGTTTTTCTAACGCTGTCTACAGTGCTGATAATGCTTTAAGTGAAGCACGTTGACTTCGTCAGGTGAACTAAAATTGATGGTCCAGTGTCTATTTTACGCTAATTTTCGCTTAACTATATGCTGATTCCCGTACTCGCAATGCAATTATTTGATTGGCCTAGCCCTGTGCCCACTCAAGGCGGGTTGGGGGTTTTGAGAGGGAGGGTGGGGGGGGGGGGGGGGAGGTATTCGCACTGTCACAGTTCACTCACATTGCGTTCATGGGCATGGCAAGCTTGGGTCTCCTGATCTTAGCCCTCCCCGAGCTCACTTCTGGAGCAATTGGACTTCCTTTTATGCTAAATGCTTTCCACTTTAACTACTCCATAGGTGTTCCCTTAAACTCTGAAGTTTATTTACATTGTGGGTACTATACCCCAGCATCGACCAATGATGCCTTTACATTGAGTATTTCCTTTGTTCCGGTGGACAGATTGACACAAAAGCAGCTTGCCGTGGTAGATTCCGGGTCTTTTTTCTTTCCAAAAGAATTGGAAAGGGCCCACGAAGACATGGGAGAAGTGCTAAATGTATGCCTTTCTATTATTGCTTCAAATCAAAGTGATTTTGATCCATATTTATTAATATTTCTGTCTTTGCTTACTGATGCCACTACGTTATTCTGTTCCCAAATATCACTTAAATTTAATCGATTAACTTTACTTATTTCTTTTTTTCTACAGAAGACGTATTTTGAACCACCAGCAAACAAATCCGGGAGCGTTACCACTTCGGTGAAATTTAACATGGCGCATAATTCAACGGGTTCGTATATTTGTCAAATCTACCTGACAAGTCCAAGTCAAATCTCGGATGAAGATTGGACCCTAACTAGATGGATGTACTTGGAAGTTCGCTCAAGCCCAACTTGTAAGAAGTATATATCTTCAACGCTCTCTTTACAATTTGATAGGCAATGTTGAGGAATTGTAGTGAATTCTATTGCCTTAACTATTATAACGGAGTTTTACATGCAAAACAAGTCAATTACACTCAAGATTTATTAGCAGTAAATCAATACTACAGGGTCTAAAGGAAATGGATCGATCGGGTGATGATGGGCAATGGAGGCCTTGATTTGAATTCTGTGTGCACCGAGTAGCCCCCGTAGGGTCTATAATCAACAGGTTTGTCTTCCAATGCTCCAGACTTCATTGCTCCACCCCTTAGTTCGATTTCCGACGCATTGTGCGCAGTTGAATTAACTAGATCATCCAAGTTCCTATTCCGTTTACTTTTATTTCAAGTTTGATATTCCAGATATGGTTTGATGGCAGAAGAAATGTATCTCATAATGTGTTCACTAAATTCAGTAGATCCGCTATTAGGGTTAAGGTGCTATAGGCTTTGATATGGAGTTGTAGCGGATTGCTACGCTAGTAAAGCCTGACTGACTCAGATATCTCTATGGCAGATTCTCCAACATCTAGCTAGACTCCCAGAACCAGCTAAGCTATAGCCCAGCTATAGGGGAAACAGACGTGTAGCACGGAGCGCGTTTATATCTGTGGCAGATTCTCCTACATCTAGCTAGACTCCCAGAACGGCAGATTCTCCAACGTCTAGCTAGACTCCCAGAACCAGGGAGATTCTCCTACATCTAGCTAGACTCCCAGAACCAGCTAAACCATAGCCCAGCTATAAAGGAAACAGACGAGTAGCACGGAGAATTCTCCAACATCTAGCTAGACTCCCAGAACAAGCTAAGCTATAGTCCAGCTATAAGGGAAACTGACGTGTAGCACGAAATGCGTTTATTCGGTACGTATATTGCATATAAAGGAAACAGATGTTTAGCACGGAGCACGTTTATTCTACAGAGGATACAGACGTGTAGCACGGAACATTTATTCAGTAGCGGAAAACAGACGTGTAGCAAGGAATACGTTTATTCGATACGGGGAAACAGACGTGTAGCAAGGAATACGTTTATTCGATACGTATATTAATAGCGAAGTGTTGAGTTTGGCAAAGCGATTAGTTATCAGTAAATCTAGCAATGTTGGCAAAGCGATTAGTTATCAGATAACTCTAGCATGATTCGTGTGAACATTAATAGCTAAATATTTATGAGTAATATTCTATAGCAGGATTTCTACATGGTCATTGGTGGAATGTCCCACAGAGTTAGCGTAAGAAAATGTTATTTCTTTGGACTTTTCGACGAATCTAGGTCCTTTTAAAACGACTTCTTACTACTGAATTCATGGGACCTAAATGATCGAATAGTGTTTTTATTAATTAATATCCAGTACGTTTTGTATATCGTAGACACTAATTGCCTCAGAAACTATGTGGGAAATCAGGCTATTTTGATTTCGATGCATTATTACTTAAAGCAATAAACTATCTATTAAGAAAATTGTTTTTGTATTCCTTTCGCCATGCCCACTATGGATCTTTGGCTGATTTTCTAGACAAGCTGAGACATTCTAGACATTTGTATTACCTGTCAATTTAGTCTACTGATTGATCCCTACAGGAATGTTGTCTGGCTGACCTAGGTTATTGGTATTGGAGTTGGTTTCCAAGGCCATGTGTCAACTCCACTTTTAAATTAATTTTGTCGCCGGGGCGGGGGATTTCGCGTGTTGATTGACGCCTTGATACTAACATGCCAATCGCTACCCTCACTTGTTGAGTCTACTAATCAAGGCCGAAGGGTTTCCCAAGGGAATGGTTACTCCTCTCGAGTGATTAGATCAAGAATTGGAATGCAGGTGTATTAGACAAACAAGGAGGAAAGAGCGTTTTAGCGAGTGAAACTGGGTTTTTTATGACATGATGGGGCAGTTTTTTGATTCTGCATTTTTCGATCATCGATTACCAACTTTTAATATATATGCATAAAGGGATTTTTTAATATTTTTTTGCTTTAGATAGAGAAGCCTTCGTGCCTTTCGCTTTAGTTGGAGTTCTCATAGTGGCCTGCTTTTTTGCCTTGAGGCCGCGACGAGTGATTTTCAGGCGCGTTTTGATTGAAAAATCGCCGCTTTATGCAACGCCAGATAAGCCGACCGTCTACAAACCCCCAAAGATCACCATTGTTGATGGGAGGCCCCCTTTCATGCTATATATTCGAGAAGTCATTCAACACACAAGGTCTAAAAGGCTTTCAAATTTGGGTGAGTTTATTTCCAGTGACTTAAATTAACTTGTTTATCACATTAACTGTTGAAAATGCGATTAAATAAGCCTATTCTAGTCTCTACAGAAAATTGTGCCTAACGAATTGGTTTTAAGCGGTTTATTTCATATTCCATGCTCGATAAATTAACAAACTGTGTTAATTATTTAGAGTGATTTCCACTTAGGCTAACTTACTTTGGTCCTCTTTAAGCAATCGACGACAAAGAAGATGCCTATTCACCCACAGATTCCTCTTCTGAGGCAGGTGATAGCGCAAATAATCGCCTCTATTTCTGTACACCTTCCGACAAGTCGTTTGAAGTTCCTTTAAATCGACTGAGAGTTGAGCGGCCTCTAGGTCAAGGCGCATTCGGCATTGTCTACTTGGGATCTGCAGTTAATCTTCCTGGCGGTATGAAGGGTC